TTTATAGTGTGTCTTAAGATTGAACTGAAGACAGAATCAATGTAAAATATGAAGATTTGAATTAAGCATTTGAAGAAGTGTTCAGAATTCAGAGTTTTCAATTAATCAAAGAGAAAGATTCAGAGATATACACATATGAAGTAATTATTCACAGAAGTTATCAGATAAGAGTTATGAAATCAGAGTACTGATACAGAGTTGTTTTTATATAATTTTCTTCAAATTAGAAAGTTAGTATTATCAAAAATTATTATCTGATAGAGTAACTTATCAGCTCAGTAGTAATTTTCTGATTATTTTTCTTTTATTATCTGCATTTCAATGACTTCAGATGTCAGAAAATTTCTTCAGAATTATAATCAGTTTATAATAAATGTTTCTGAATGAAGTTGCAGTGATTGCAGCAAAGAGATGACTCTTCAGTAATTTATAATACAATCTGTTAATAATTATTTCATAGTTCATCTTGATATTTGTATTAAGTTTTTCATAAATTTTGTGACCTGAAATCAGATGTGAAGAATGAAGTAATTATTCATTATAATTGAAAGAGAGTATTCTGTGTTGAATTGTAAATAATATAGACTTTGTAATTCTCAGTGATTTCTTAAAGAGTTTATGAATCTTTAATAGAAGTAAAAGAAGTGAAAGAAGTGAATTCAGAAGATATAATAATAATTTAAGAAAGATAATAATTTATTTTCAATAACTGATCACTGATATGTGTAAGAAGAATTAATATAAGAGAAAATAATCTTGTTTCTTAGCTTAGTTATAATTTTAGTACTAACTCAGATTGAATATCATTGATATATAAAAGTAAATAAATAATCTTGATTAATCTCTGTTATATGTCTTGAAATATATTAATATTGTAAAAGAGAGTGTTATCAAATTACATTATCAGATGATATTATTAAAAATATATTAATATTATGAATATTAATGTTGAAAAAATGTTAATACTTATACATTATAGTGATTTGTGAATCATGATAGTTAAATATATATATATATATATATATCATTTCTGACTTGATTACAACTTGTACAATAATTTTTAAAAACTCAAAATCAATTTTAATTATTAATAATTAAAAACTTAAACTTATAACTAACTAATATAAAAAGAAAAAAATCTACTTCTTCTCTTTCTCATTCTTCTTATCATTCTTTATAATTCACTTCTCATTCTTCTTCTTCTTCTTCTTCTTCTTCTTCTTCTTCTTCTTATCTGAGATGATAATTATCTCAAAATCTCTCTCTGCTGCCTTCTCAGAGAAGAGTTCTCACTACTTCTTCTCAGTCAGATTAATCTGTATCTCAAAATCCTGCATTTTCTAATCTGCTGTCTCAGGTTTCATCTCAGCAGTAAGCAGATTGATATACTCAGAGAGCAGAGCTATCTTCTTAATATTCTGAATCATGAAGTGCATTCAAGAGCTGAACAAGGCCTCAATTCTCTTCTTCTCTGCTAGCTCCTGCTAATTAATTAGATAACAGAAGTATTATCAAAAATTATTATCTTTTAATAAAAAACTTATCAGTTTTGACTTCTTTATCTCTCACTTCAATATCTTCTCAATCTTCTTCTGCTACTACTTATTTATAGTAATACTCTTCTTCTCTCTCTCTCTCTTTATCTTAATCTTAAATCATTCTCAGAACTTCTTCTAATCTTACTACTACTGTATAAGACTCTTCACTATCTTCTTTTTCAATCTCTCACAGATGATGTTATTCATATTATTTCTATACTTAGTTCAGTCTAAATCTATCAGAAGTATTACTTAAAATCATTATCATTCTACTCTCTTATAAAGCCTCTTCAAGATATTATAACATGTCTTACAATCTGTCTCTCTGTGCTTAAATACCTTCTTCTTCTCTCTCTTCAATCTGTAACAGTGCTCACACACCTTGATAATTCACAGAACTGCAGAATATTTGAAGAGAGATGACATGATTAATTTTAATAAGTATTAAGAGAGAGATGAAGACAGGTAATGATATAATAGTGATAGTGATAATAATGATGATGATAATGATAATAATAATGATAATAATAATAATGATAATGATAGTGATAATGATAATAATAATGATAATAATAATGATGATGAAAGAGAGAGTACATCAGAATATATTATTAACTTATCAAATATAAAGAGATAAAGAAACTATTAACAGCTTTCAGAGATGTACAGAAATAGCTACAGTATTACATAGTAATATTATCTTTATTCAATACATACACTATTAATATTCTTTATATATATTTATTATATAATCTATATCAGAGATACATGCAGAAAACAGATCTTTATTACTAGAAAGAATGATTGCAGTGATTCTCTGTTTTTATATTATAAAGATAAGTTATTTTTATTTCTTTCTTCTCTCTTTTCTCTTCTTCTTCACCTCATCACTAAGTTCAAGCTGATATGAAAACTATTAAAACACTCATAGCAATTCTCAAATTAAAGAGTATAAACTAATCAAATTTTAAATACAGATGAACTAAATTAATTTAATAATACTAATTATTCATTCTCTCTTCAATAAAATAACAGTCATATCTTTCTCTTTCTTTCTCAAATGAAACATGACTTATAAAAAGTGAGTATTATATCAGACTATAATAACTAATACAGCTTCAGTATACAGAGCTGTATACACACAGTACATGCTGAACTGAGAGACTGCATGAGTTATAAATCAACAGCAGTATCTCAGAGAGAGTTATACAGCATGAAAAAGCTGTAACTCTCAGTTACATACACAGAGAGTAAATCACTGCAGTAAGTGTATATACATTGCATGAAAGTAATGCTTTTTAATAACACTCAGTCTCTGATATTATGAAAATAGAGTCTCTTCATGAGATCTGTTTTTATCAGAAGTTAAGAAATCTTGTATTTCTTAAGATTATCTTCACATGCCTTGTCTGTGAAATCAATGAGAGAAATTATTAATTTCAGTATTCTGCTCTTAATATTATTCAAGTGACAGTAGAGTTCACTCTGACCACACTTTTTAAGTGTATATTTTCTAATTATTCACATTTATACAGATATATACTGATTATTTATTAGATAATATTAAGACAATAATTCATCACAGCTGTGTTATTCTTACTATGAGAAATACACAGTTGATAATAAATATTGTAAAGACTCTGAGAAGTAAGTATTTTAAGAATACTGTAGCTCTGTGATCTTGATTTTTTTTATTTTTATTTTTTATTTTTTTCTTTTTCTTTTCTTTTTTTTTTTAATGTGATTTTTTCTTATATTTATTTTGTTTTTTGTTTTTTATTTTTTTTTGTATTTTATATTTTTTTTATAATTAAAATTATATGAATTATAATCTGTGTTTAGAAAAGTAATAATATTTGATAACACTCTCTATTGAATTTTTAATAAATGAGCACTATATTATAATATTATATAAGTGAGAAGTAATTTCATAGTCTTATTTAATGTCATTCTCAATAATAAGATCAGAATGAAAATGTGACTAAGAATTCAAATATATTCTTTATCTAAGACTAGATTTTTATTTGAAAAGTGAATCTGAGATCTTTAATATTTGAAATAACATGATTTGAAATTAATGTGATGAATACAAATCATGACTAGAAGTAATGCTTTTAGATAATGTAATAACTGTAAAGTTTGATTCTGGTCTCAGACACAGTTACATAGTCAGTCTATACTATACTATATCTTATACAGTGATGAACTCAGCTATATCTTTCTGAAAAACTTAATCTTGCTAAGTACATTACTTAATCTCATTATATAAGCTGATCTTGTAAATGTGATCTGTGTTACTATCTGATCTCACTTAATACATCTTTTCTTATAATTTGAAACTACTTAATTATTTATCATCAATTCTACAATCAATTCAAAATTAATTTAAAATTAATTTAAAATTAATTTAATACTGAAATTATTCTAGAATTTAATAATAAAGTAAGTATTTATATAATTTACACTGAATTAATTATTAATTAATTTTCAATCAATTGTTAATTACTTAAATATATAGATTGAATTTATTTTTATTACTATAATTAATTAATAATTAATTCAGAATTAATTTAAAATTAATTATTAAATATTTTTATTTTAATATATTTTAAAATTCTGTAAAACATCTCTTTATATTCTATATGAATTTATTTATTCATTTAATTGATTATGAATCAGTTATACATGCTTTTTAATTGATTAATGAGCTGAATGAATGAATGAATGAGTGAATTGAAAGATTGAAAGTTAATTATCAACTGATTATTACTGTATTGTGCGTAGACTGACTGTGTGACTGTGTCTGAGATCAGAATCAGATTTTTTAATAGTTTTATTATCAATTTAACTGATTTCATTACACAGTTTTAATATTAGATAGTAGTTTCATACTGTCTCAGTGAGACTTACTGTCTACTCTTATTACATTTTTTAAATGAGATCATGATTTTCACTTCTCAATTTAAATTATTTTTATTACTTTAAATGACTTTAAATTTTATTTAAGTATTATCAAAAAGTGTTACTTTTTAAAAAATTAAAAATAGTCTAAAAAAAACCTTAAAATGTCTAAAAATAGTAACTTTATACCAAGAATAAGACTAAATGAGACCAAATGAGACCACTTTCTCATTTTTTTCAAGTCATGATTTCATTTTAAGATCTGATATATAGTCACTTTATCTGTTTTTTTGATAGCCAGTCCCAGTGGGATTCACGCCAAGAAATGTATGAGACCAGACCAAATGGGACCAAACGTGAAATTCATGGTCCCAGCGGCCAGTCTAATTGTGCGAGGTCGGGGTCATGATTATGTAACGAGGTCAAGTTTTCTGCTTCCTTTGTCTGTTGGCGGGTTGATCGGCCCTTCTAGTGATTGAGCTCTTTTGCCCCAGTAGCCTACAGCATCAGTATCAGGCGCGCGCCAAGTGTGGCAGCTAAAAATAATGAAAGACATCGGATTAAATATCTGATTGGTTCTCCATCAGGTCAACTGTAAAAAATACATTGTAGTTTGCACAGACTATAGTAATATCCTTTGCAGTTCAGAATGTGTTCCCCTCTCCAAAATCCTCCCATCCTTCACTACAAGAATCTGATCCGCATCCATGACAGTAGATAGGCGATGCCTATAGAAGGAACTGTTAGTAAGAGACAGTGGCTTGCGGCCTGGAGAGACCTATTTACGCAATATAATAACAATCGTAGTCGGACCAGCACAGAGCTGCTTCAATCCTTGTTGCACACATACTTCGATCTCGCTGTCTAGACTGCTGGTGGCTTTGTCCAGGAGGACAATCTTCGAGTTTTTGAGAATCACTCCTGCTATCGCGACACGCTGCAGTTCGCCACCAGACAAGCTACACATAGCTGCTACAGGTGTATCGATCAATTAAGTGCTTGCCCGATATATTGATTTGCTCTGCTAATTGTATTATTAGCCGGTTACTGTCCGCATTTGATCGAGTGAAACCAGGGGCTAGATAGCCACAATGCTAACAGTTCTCAAAAGCTCTTCTTCCCATAGCTGTACCAGTTCTCAAACATCACCAAAGACAGACGAACAAGAGCAGAAACTCAATAAAAAGGTTCGCGGACGCAGAGCTAGAACAAATCGGCTCTCCATCTATTTGTATGATCTCGCGCATTGAGCAACCCCGTGGCCTTCAATTGACGAACGACCCAATTCCTCCGCACCACTCACCTACCTTCAAAGATACGCAACCCCTCCCTCAACGCATGACCGAAACGACCACCCCAGACTTATAATAGCAACCACAACAATAATAATAGTAACAAACTTGAAAAGAAGAATACTCTTGACACGCTCTGTCCCTCTTTGCCCATAGCACAACACGGATCCCGCATCCGCACCTATAACCATGGCGAACCAGGCATCTACACCGGGACCCACGTCCATTCCCACATCGACAGAGACGGCAGCGGACACGATCGAGTTACTAGAGTCGCGGCTACGCAGGATTGAGTACCTGTTAACGGGCGAGGCGAGCTGGACGGGGGAACCGCCACGGCTGACAACGGCGACGGGTGTTGGCGAAGGCGAGAAGCCAGTGACGACGCGGTTGGCGAGGCTGGAGTATGAATTGAAGACGCTGGCAGATAGAGTGCCGGCTGTGAGGGATGTTTTGGGACTTTGTACGTTATTCTTTTCCTTCTTTGTTTATTCTTCCCACATTTCGTTTGTGTTTTTCTATGTCTCTTTTTTATAATAAGTTTACGGCCCTACGTGCTCTATACAACAACCCCTTTTAAAATTACACCCACGAAACTCAATCAGAAGAACTAACTAACCACCCACCCCTACCCTCACCTCAAAACCACAGACTCCCGCTTCCCAGACCTCTTCCAATCAATCCACCCCACCAACACCTCTTCCTCCTCATCCGCCGCATCGCATCCCCCAACAATCCCCACATCCCTCTCCCAACAGGCCCTAACCTCCATAATCCTCTCCTACGCCTCCGCCTTCCCCGAAACCGCCTCCCGCCTCACCTCGCTCAAAGACCTCCCCATCCCCCCCGCCTCCCTCTCCGCCTCCCTGATAGAGCTACAACCACGTCTAGACCGACTAGCGGCTGTGCAGGAGCAGCAGGCAGCTGAAATAGCGGAGCTGAGGGCGCGCAGTGCGCTAGTGGCGAAGCGGTGGGTGGAGGTTGGGGTTTTGGGGGGGAGCGAGGTTTGGGCGGAGTGGGAGGGGAGGATTGAGAGAGTGGAGAGGGGGGTTAGGAGATTGGAGAGGAGGAGGGAGGTGTAGGAGATATGCGTTAGATTGTAGGGGCGTGGAATTTTATTTTTTATTTTTTATTTTTATTTTTTGGCTTCTTTTCCTTTCTGGCTTGGCGACGGGAGTGTGAGCAGGTGGAAGATATCTATGCGGCATTTGTATATTTTATCATGATGTTATTATTATTATTCTGCGGGACCTATGCTCCGCCTATGCATCGATATATCTACTGCGTAGGGCGTTTTCCTTCTGCGCAAACCAATAGTTATACTTTTCTCCCTTTTCACCTTGCTAGAGTTTTTCTTGTCCTCCTTTTTTACCCTATTTTTTATTTTTGGTTGCGGCATTTTTCTACCCTGTTTCCCTGTTTCCCTGTTTCCGACCTACCTCTCCTCCTTGCCCTTCTCTTCCTAGCTAGCAGCAGGCCCGTGGGACAGAGCGAGCGGGATTGACATGCATGACCAGGAAACCTGGGAGAATTCAAGAAAAATATATTCAGCTTGACTATTTTATTTCAAAGGGTACGTAAGGTTTCTAGCAAAGCCAGAGTGTGGCAATGGTCATTCATCTCATTTCACTTTTCTCGCGGTAGATACAGAAGCCGGTAGGATCTCTTGTGCCCATTTATGTGTATATGTTGTATGTGCAGGTGTGTAGCTATGACCAACTCAATATGCCTACATATAACTATAGCAGTAGTACGCAGTAAGGTACGTTGAATAGGGCTGTCCTAGGGTGGGTGGTGAATAAAACAAAAACAGGGCTGGTGGAGATGAGATGGAGATTTATATATATGTTTGAGTAGTTACCAAGGTACACTTGGTAAGAACTTTATAGCAATGGCTAACGCTTTAATTTTTCTCTTTTTATTGGTTTAAAAAGATACACATAGTGTAACCTGGAATTCTTAAGGTACCTAACTAGATGCAAACGTGCATAGACAGAGATTAATAAATTGAATTGAATTGCATTGCATTGCATTGAAGCTGTTAACGCTCTTGTCTATTCTTTCTTTCTTGGAGCGGAAGGTTATTATTATTATAACTACCCTATTTTTTCATACTGAGATGGCGTTAATACTCTGGCTGTCTCATCGCTCAGTTACGAAGAAGATATTACGTATACAGCGTACTCCGTATGTTGCCTTAACGAGGATCTAGTCTGGTCTGGTCTAGTCTGGTCTAGGGCTAATTTTAGAGAGGGAAGTGGAGGGGAGGAGAGCGCATGTACCGGTACATCAAGATTATTATTCTTCTTGAGAGAGAGTTGCCGCGCGCAAAAGATGCTAGAGCTAGTTGGTTCCATGTCACACCCGAGAGAGATCTGTCATATTTTGGAAAATTAGATCAGAAAATGAAGAGGAGGGAGAGAGGATTCTTCTTGAAGAAATCAGGGTAAGAAAAGGAAGTATTTCATTCCTTACAGAACTAACTACTCTACTCCATAAGGCAGAGAGAATAAACTGTGTCAAGGTTATACATACTTCTCTCTCTATGTTTAGTATTGATGTTGTTGGGCATCTGTACTGTACAATCGAAGTCTAAAACAAGGGACCCTCTTTTTTCTTTTTTTTTTTTTTTTCTTCTGTTGGGTGCATCAGAGGATTCTCTCACAAACTAAATGAGGACTGGATGTCTGTCTGAGCTGGGTATTTGTTGGTTGGATTGGTTGGCTGTCGGCGAGCGTTCGCTGTTCAGTGGACATACAGATGTTTTGAATATATGCAATGGAGCTAATGAAGGCGAAATGGTTGACCCCAGATAGATATATTTCATTTTCCTTCAACATTCCAGTGACCACTCGTTCTCTTTTGTATCAAGTATTCTAGCCTAGCCCAGCTTTTCGCCGTTTGGTGCCCGTTAAGCGGAACCTAGGCACTGGGCCAGACTGGGCGCAAATAAGGCCGGCGACATTTGAAACAAGCCGAGAGAGGTCTGGTTGAAACTCTTTGAGACTCTTGTCATTGTCCCCAGCAGAGTAGATGACTGGAATGCCCTGGACCTGGATTGGCTGCTTGGTTATTTTGTTCAGCCCTAGAGAATAGTTAAAAGATTGACTGAACCCCCCTTCCCTTGACGCCGGCCCAGCCCAGACCCGCAGCCAGGCGCAGGTACCGGTACATATACAGGTACATACAGGTACATACATACATACATACATACATACATACATACATACATACAGTTCTGGCAGCAACTGGGGCCCGTCGTCTCAGCCTCTTCAAGAGCCCAAGTCCGTCTAAAATCCAATCCAGAATCCAGCCGCTGATTCCCGGTCCACAGAAAAATCACGACAACTCCTTCTTTTCTCCAACTCCAACTAACCTCCCTAACACTACGGAGTACACTACACTAAACTACACTACACACTACGCAGTACACTACACTTAGTACTGCACTGCACTGCACTACGACTACACCACTGCACTAACACTACACTACGCTGCGTACGCAACGGAGTACACTACCTACACCACTACAGCCACTGCAACCGCTGCAACCTGCAACCTGCAACCTGCAACCTGCAACCTGCAACCTGCAACCTGCAACCACTAAACCAACTCCAACTCCACCGCTGCCTCTCTGCATCTTCTTCCTTCATTCCTTTGCTTCTGTTGTTATTCTTCTTCGTCTTCTTCATCGCATCCATCGCGCTGCAACTCTACCAGCGCCCATTCACTCTTTTGTAGCCCCCTTCTCTTCTTCTTGTTTCTTCTTCTTCTTGTTCTCTCTTCTTCTCCCACGAGCCTGGTGCTCGACCCTTCTTGTCACCCCACCCACCACCCCTTGGCCCTCCCTCGTCTCTTCCCGCGACACCCTATCCCGTCCACGGAATATCCAAACGGCCAAAAGTATACGTTAATCGTCAATCGTCATTTATTGTCATTTATTGTCGTCTTTGTCCCCCTCCAACTCACCCTCCTCCCCTCCCTACGAACAAACTCCATCGCCGATCGCTTCTTCTCGAGACGCCCTGTTTTCGCTCCGTGAATTTGAACTAGTACCCGTTTCGTGGCTGTCATCCCTCTGGGATTCCTCCCATCAATCAAACCTTGGAACCAACTCTGCTTCATCGTACCGTTTATTTTAATACTACCTACCTATCGCACAACCTCGTGCCGACAGACACATCGCTGGGGAAAAAGAGTGAAAGGAGAGAGAGCAAGGAATACAACTACAATCACGGCCAATTAGTTCCACCTCAATAACGCATCACGTCGTCCCTCGTCCTCGTGTGCATTCCCGCTCCCCTCGATCGATACCCTGCCTCCCGGTTATCTATATCCTGCTTGTCACCCATAATCCTCCTGGTCAATCGAATAAATATCCTTGTGTTGTGTGGAAGTCATCAACGCGCTCACCTCCGTTCAACCAACACCCCCTCTCCCTCCCCATCGTTCTCGGTCAGCGCAAAAAATATAAATCCTTGAATTCTTTGTGATTGAACTTTTCACCATACCACAACAAGCGTTTCCCGCGCTTGAATGGTGACCTATTCCGCGAACTACTCCCCTTCCTTTCAGAGAAGGTCTCCTGTTGCTGTCCACAATCGGCGATCCAACATGGCTCGCATGGATCTTAATAACATTGTTGGCGATCCATTCGCCCTGATAACTATTTCCACGTCTATGGTATTTCTGTCCCTTTTTTTTTCCCTTCCTTTCTTCCTTCTACTCTTGCTTATTCCAACACGGGTAAATGCCGCCACTTGGCTTTTACGGGGGAAATAGGCTACTGCCCTTTTTAAACTAGATTTGAAATTCTAACAAAATCCCTCGTCTTCGAAACTTTTAGATTGCATGGCTATTATCTTTCGTGACGTGTGTCATTTCAGATATCCAAGGTCTGTTCCCTAACTTCGCATGGTGGGCTGTTGGCTATATGCTATGTGCAATCATCGGTATTTCCATAGTTCTGGGGTCGCAAACAAGCCATGTATATGGTGTCGCGGTACGCTCACCCTCTCTTCCCTCAATCCGCCATGTCAACATCCCGTCTCTGTCATAAACCAAAACCCAAGTAGACTAATATATTGTTGATACTGCTAGATCGTCGGTTATCTCGCTGCCGGCCTGGCTTTTACATCGCTTGCCGTCAATTCGTTGATCTATGATGACGAGGCCTCGAAACAGGCTGCTGCCGCAGGCTTCATTCTCCAATCTATGGTTATCGTATGTATATGTCCTTTATTTTTATTTTATTTTTATCTACCTGCCATCAAAACTGCCACCAAAACCCCCGAAGTAGGCTGTTCAAACCGAACGAAAAAGCCAAAAATATGCTAACACACGCGACTAATTTATACAGATCGTTTGGATATTCTACTTCGGATCCTCACGCCACTCCTCGTCCCGCGGCTACCACGACTCAATGGGTGCTGGCAAGGAACAACACCACTCGTACCGCAATAGCAAACCTATATCCAATAACTACGGCGCCCGACCAGAGACAACCGTCTCTGCCAACCAACCTCCCCAGATGTATACCTCCGCCCAACTAAACGGCTTCGAAACTTCCTCCCCCGTCTCCGGTTTCCCACCAACCGCCACCAACGGCGCAGACATCCAAAACCGCTTCGGAACCACCTTGGGCTCACAGACGAATCTTGGCGGTGGAAGCACTATCGGTCAAGACCACCAATCGACAAACGAAGTCAGCCAGCCAACTGAGTACCCGTACCGGGCAAAGGCAATCTACTCCTACGAAGCGAACCCAGATGACGCGAATGAGATTAGTTTTGCCAAGCATGAGATCCTTGATGTATCAGATGTGAGCGGGCGGTGGTGGCAGGCGAAGAAAGCGAGTGGGGAGACGGGGATTGCGCCGTCGAATTATCTTATTCTGATATAGGTTCTTTTTTTCTCTCTCCTTTTTGTCACTTTTCGATTTTTTCTACTTGTTCAATTTGATTTTATTTGATGCCTTTTTATTTTCTTTTTTTCGTCGCTCTGTGTTTATGGAAAGGGTGGCGGGGGGAATATATCATTTTCATCATTTTCCGTTTTCTTCTTCTTCTCTTTACTTCTTTTCTATTTTCCTTGCCCTTGCCATTTTATACATCTTTCTTCCGCCTCTCCCCTGTAGAGCTGTCTTGATATGTTATATGTGTATGCAGTATGTGTCTGTGTATCTCCCATCTTCTTCATATCCACACCAGCAAGCTACTGTATCCTCACACGAGACCCCCATTTATTCACCTTATTTACCTGTGGTCTACCCTTGTCTCTCTTTTTACAAAGACCGTCTTTCTACTCGTCGAAGCTGAAGGAGGCGCGAGAGAGAGAGAAAAGAAAGGGAACGTTTTTTAATGTCACTTTATTGATTGTTCTGTCCATTATCGTTTCTCCCTTCCCCAAATTCACTATGAAAACAAAAAAGGAATTACCCGCAACCCTCCCCCTTCCATTTCTATTTTCTTGTTTTACTTATTATTGATTTTCTCTTCTCTTCCTCTTTTTCTTTCTTGTTTTCTCAAATCCTATCAACAAACAACAAAACGAAAGAAAAGAAAAAAAAAAAGAAAAGAAAAAAGAAGAACCAAATCATGTCTCATATTTTCCTGACTGATGAATATATTTACTATTATCATTATTATGAATGACCTATCATTTTGCGTAAAAGGTGAAAAGATCAAGAGATCTAGAGAATACAGATACTATTTTATATATATATATATTCATTATTGTTTAGTTATTTATCTGCGAGTATGAGAATGTGTATGAGAGTGTGTATGAGAGATGGAGAAATGACAGTTACATCAAGCAGAGACAAGAGAAAGTCAGCTAGCTGATTTATTGACCCAGCGATGGAATATATCTCTACCAGGCATGATTGTTATTGCTGTGATTATGCAACATGCAAGAGGAGAAGATCCTGTTGATGATTTATATAAAGTATTCCTGAGGGTTCTGTGTCCATCCAGAATGTATATAGGAAGGATGTAGGAGATAGTTTTCTACAGATTCATATCCCCCCTCCCCTCCCCTTACACGTATGTATGTACTGTATATGTACATGTACATGGAAAAATATAATCCGCCTCCATTCTCACGGCTCTTCTCTTGCACCCAATCATCATCATCACCAACATCACTCGCTGGTTTCCTCTCCCTACCGCTAACCTCCTACAATGGCTCGGCATGTGTATAGATAGAAAGTAGCTATAAATTTTCACCCGTTTGCTACTTTTTCCCGCTGTTGCTTTTCCCTTCTCTCCCCTCTCCCTTTAGCGATGGCACGATAGCATGTGCGCCAGGTAAGGGGCACAGTTATATATATTCCATCGGAGATTGTGTTTCATTCGTTTGTTTGGGTGCTGGCTGGCTGGCGATTTTGTCGCTGAGTGCATTCCCCTCCCCTGCGCTTTCATTTTCGCTCGAGGATCGGATCCTGCGGTTGTTATGTCGGTTTTACTAGTTAAAGGGAAAAAAAAGGGAAAAAAAAGTGGCGCTGAGGAAAATGAATAGATGAATAGTAGAGAATCCCAGATAGAGTACAGTAGCTGGGAGAGAGACACTAGCCCAATCTCTGTCTGGGGATGATGGGGATCGAAAATATACCGACCAAAAGAGCTTGGGATGCGAAGAAAGAAAGATCTCAGTTGGACACCAGGGTTTTTTCTTTTTTTTTTTTTTTTTTTTTTTTTCCCTCGACGACGGCAACGGCTAAATATCAAATCAAACGTAGGCCGGCCACCTGTTTCTGTTCTCGAAATAGGGGTGGGAGAATTTATGCAAGATTGGTCTTTAAGATCCGTTATCTTCGACGGCAAAAAAAGAGGGAGAAAGAAGGGAAGAAAGAAAGAAATTAGTCGCAGAGAGCGTAATATCGCCCGTTCGAGCCGCTGAGCCTATGAAATCGGTTTTGGATGGCGGTCCACCAACCGTGTAAGGATTGTAGCTGATATTGTTCCTCCGTATCTATATGAGATCGTGAGGGTGAGAGCGAGGGGGGACTAATAGGAGGAGATGTCCATCGACGCAGGCTCTGTTTCTGCATATGTCGGTTTCGTTTAGTTGACCTTGTTGTTGTTGTTGCTGTGAGCTGTTGCTGCTGTCTATCCAGGCCGAGGAGGAGAAGGGCATCGTTATCTGCTTGTGCTCGATTTGCTGCTGCCTTCTCGGCGATCGATCTGTTCACGGCCATGATGTCGAAGGCGTTGAAGGCGATGAACATGGTTATGGTGGGTTTATATATGTAGATATTTATATATGAGGGAAGCCGCTCTGAGGGGATATATTTTTGTATGTTCCTGTTGCAGCTTTTTATTTTTTTCGCAACGACCTTGGGAATCTCCCGCCATTTAAACCCACAGAGACGAACCAGCAAACCTGTGTGCAGCTCCCGTCATTCACCAGTTCCACCACCACTGATCGACTGTCTTCTGGTGAGGAGAACCTCCGGCGCCGGACAATATGATCCGCTCCTATCGCAGTGGCTTGCATTGGCAGCATCTGTGACACCCCCAAACCTCTTGTCGAGAACCACTTCTCAAAGTGGCCTCGCCCATCATCCGGTAGATCTAGTGGAGTTCCTTTGCTGGGTCGGAAGCAGATGACTGGATAACTGGTCAAGCCCTCTCAATGATTTGCTCTCCTCCATCCATCCCACGGTAGAGCGGAATAATGGTACATACGCTATAACATACACGTCTGCTTTGATGCAGACTCCATCCCTGATCGGAAGATCAACACCACTAGTTACCATGACGATCATGGCGTTCAAGCAAAGCCACAGTTGAGAAGCCTTCTTCTTGCAACTTAAAAGTTAAGGCCAAGGAAAAAGCCCCCCCAGACTGGTTGGCATCGAAACGATAATGCGGGCCATATAAAAACGTTAAGACAGAGCAGCATCCACTCTGATGAGCTTTTGATCAGCGCTAGCAAAGCTTATGCATTTTACATGTAACCATCACAAGCACATGCTTTGATTCGCTGGTAAATATCAGAACATGTCCTAAAATTGGAATGAAATTGGAATGAAATTGAGAACTTTTTTAACAGGTAACTTAGCGCTCAGCCAGTTCAAAAGAAAAAGCACATATATGAGCAGTGCGAGAGGGAACACTTCAACCACCATGCCCAAATTGACTTTCCACAGCTTTGAGATTGAGATTATGGAAAGATGAGTGTTTTAGCTTCTCACTTCTTCGACCGCCATTTCAACAAGAGGCTAAGCCTTCTCGTATGAGCTATACTTTCATATAGGATAAAGAATTCCGTCCGCGGGTTTCTGGCCAAGCGGATGGACATGGTCACTCACTATTGGATCCAGTCATGGTTGCGGAGTCTTATAACATAAAAAAAAATAAGTCGGTGAGGCTTTGACAGAAGTTCATCATCATTTTGAAATCGCAAGTATAAGTTTGTTAGTTAACATACTTCGGCTAAGGCATTGTTATTTGCCAAGCCCAAGCTGTTGACCAATTTCCTTCCAACATCTTGCCCTTCCTTCATATTGGGCACACATCGACAGCCGAGTACAAACTGCTTCCGTGCTATACTCCGCTCATTATCTGCTTTCGACTCATCAGCTTCGGTTCATTCCCTTTCGGTGTCTGTTTCAAGAGAAGCCCGTTCGCCTGCCATCCCTCCTCTTGCCCCTACACCATTCTGGGTGCCATTGGCAGGAGAAGGAGAGCCTCTGAAAACATCAAATAGCCATTCCATACATATGGAGAGCTTGTTGGGCGGAGACAGACAGACACACATATCTGTATCTATCTACCCATACCACAAGTTACATTTAGTACTCGAAGTCCATGAGGAGATAGAAATCACTTGTGATTTCTGTTGTCATCGACTCCCGCTAATCTATGGCATCTGACATCTAGCTTGGATGGAAAAATGCTTGCGATGGAAATTCCCAATGATTGAAACAAGCGCTTTATATCTAGTTTGCGGACTCCGCCACTATTGCAGTCGTCTTAATCCTATCTAGCCGATTGTTTGGTCGGCTCCGCTCATAAGTTGCGGCAGAGGGGTGGTGTTTGGAAAGCATTCCTTTTTTTTTTTTTTTTTTTGGGGGGGGGGGAAATATCTGCAGACCTCTATCGCGGATGATGCTTGCACAAAATGACACAGATAGTGTAACTAAGCTAGAAGAGATAATGTACTGTAGGGTAGGGTATTCCTAGCGTGACTTGCTCTTTGTTTGTCTTTTGATATAGCAAGCATTTGAGAGCAGAAGCAACTTGAGAAAGGTGTGTACACACACAAACACTACACACACCCCGATGGGTGGTGTCATTCTAGGGGGAAAGAAAAAGATTCCTCCTGCTCTGGGTCAGAGACCACCACATGCTGCTGACTGACTTCTACACATATTTTCTTCAAATCTCACTGCTGTTTGACCTCCCACCAAGTACCAAGTAACTAACTAGACAAGGAGAGCAACTCCGCCTGAGAGTCAGTCAGGCATATACCATCACTGTAACTACTGTACTTACACTTACTGGAACGATTACGTAGGAGGAGCCTGTCAGACATCTGTATATTCGAGCAAATAAATAATAAATCTCTGTCATAATTTTTATGTTGATGCAAAGCTCAGTCCTCGTGTTTTTTGAATGCGATTATTATTGTATGTAACATACGCAGTAGTAAGAAAGAAGCCTTTGTAACTATAATCATTTCATAGTCGACATTTCTGATGCCGTTGACAAAAGGATAAGGAATACAACTGCATGAAATTGCAATGAAATTGCAATATTTTATTCAAATGAAATCTCCGGTAACGTTAGCTCTTTATTGGTCAGTTGTTGGAATATAAAGCCACAAGAGATAAGAGAGGGGAGAGAGGGGCATTCATTGGCACGCAGCTTGGTAAATAGTTAACTACTCCTCGACTTGGGTTGGAAATTCGACTGTCGAAGGTAGAGTATTTAGGGCGTAGCGTTTAATGCACAAATATCAATCAATATTATGGAATAGATATACATACATATGTATATACTGTACACGGACGGAAGTTGTAGGAAGCAGATATTCAACTTCGGCTCAAAGAAGAGCAGTGTAGCAGTGAGCAGTGCATGATAAAAGTGCTTGGGCAGCGGAAGTTTGTTCTGATTTTGATGTCTGTTGGTATATCTCTATCTAATGCATATAACAGGAATAAATATTGCAGGGCCCAGCCAAACCGGTTGTTGGTTGCTGTTGAGCCGTTTTTTGAGCCGGGACATCTCACATATCAACAACCATCTCATCATATTAACTACCATATCATCCCCATCCTCTTCCTCTTCCTCCAGCAGAACAACAGTAACACATTCACTCTCTCCTTGTGCCCTCTGTTATGGCTGACTGACTGACTGACTGACTGAACTGACTGACTGTATTATTGTCACTGTATTCTATTGCCGGAGAGGGGCCACGCGACTTGCTGCTGCTTACTACCCGTGACAGTTGCTCTCTCTGGCTGTTGAATATTCGCGGTGCCTGACCATCCTTTTATCTATATTCTTTATATTCTTTATTCATTCTTTATTATTTATTCTTCACTCCATCCAGTCAGTGCGCCCATCCCATCCCATCCCATCCCCGAGTCAGACAGCTCAGCTCCCTGTTAGCGATAGTTTTTAGCTCTCGAGCTATCTTAGCTTAAATACCCACCGGGAAATCTCCTCATCCCGCCCGCCCTTTATTAACTATTCCTTGTAAACTGTTGACGGGACGAAATCCCGCGATTCTCACAAACCTATTCTCTCCCCTCCCCCCACACTTGCTCCTCTTGCCTTCTAGAGATATATGCATGCATATATGTTACATCATTCATAGAAAAAGACGGCCATACGATGCGGTAGAGGCTCTCCCCAGCGAGCTCTCCAGCTGCCAGCCGCGGGTAGCTGTATTGCCCCCAGCCGCCAGCCCATGGATCGAGAGCGTCGACTGTCGCGGTTGACGGCCAAACTGCTGCGTCGGTCTTCCTGGTCTTCCGCAAACTTTGTCGTGCCCAACTCTCCCAGCCCTAGCACCACCACCAGCACAACCTCCACAACCTCCACAACCTCCACCAGCACCGCCAGCACCGCCAGCACAACCACCCCAACGGCCACCAGCAATCTCGTCAATCCCAATCCCAATCCCAATCCCAATCCCAATGCCCATCCTGCTGCCGGTGCTTCGCCTGCCTCTGTACCTGCCGAGCACGACCACCACTACCAAGTCCACCACCCTGACCAAGACGGCGACCACCACCGCCGCCGCCAACCCCAGCTCCACCTCCACCCCCTCCCTCATCCTCGCTCCGCCGTAAATTCCCGCTTCTCCGCCTCCTCGTCGCCCATCAGCCCAACAGATGACAGCTCCGACCTGCTCTCCCCGTTAGCGGCGAGGAGACTGCAGCCTGGGGATCAAGCAGCCCCAACCAATTCAACCCAACCAGATCAGCAGCAGCAGCAGCAGCACCCGTTACCCACGGAGCCTAGAGACAACGATGAGGAGATAGCTGAGCACGTCGACCAATTCCCGGCTGTCAGTTTCCAATCTTCCACTGCCGCAGAAGGAGGCTTCGACGCAGAATCCTCTGCCCGCTCCTCGTCAAGCAGCTCGCGTGCTCTGGACCCAAAAGAAGACCGCTTACTACATCGTCCTTTGGAAGCATATTCCCTCTCCAGAGCCTTCTCAAAGGACAAGGGCTCCTCCCCCTTCCGCTCTTCTCGTCAGGCCCACCCTCGCTCCTCCGTAACATCCGCCTCATCTCTGAACTTTGTTGATGAGTCCCGCCGTTCCAATACCCCGTTATCCACTGCAGGCACATCCGTCAAACTCACCCCTACTTCCGTCAAACCGGTTGCCCGGCCAAGCATCGCCGTCCGCCGTCAATCCCTGGTCCCCTCGTCCCAGCAGCGACTAATAAACACCCTCCTCGAACCGTCTCCATCGGCCGGTGGGGATTATTTCTCCAGCGGCCTCCCTTCCATTCACCGAGACATGATCAATCGGAAGATATGGGTTAAGCGGCCCAATTCCTCCCCGACATTGGTAGCGGTCACAGAGGAGGATCTGGTCGATGACCTGCGTGATGTCATCTTGAAGAAATACAGCAATTCCCTTGGCCGCACCTTCGACTCTCCGGATATCATTATCAAACTGCTTCCGCGGGAACCTTCGAGTAGACAGAGCTCCCATGAACGAGTCCTTGGCCCGGAGGAACCCGTGGGCCGCACATTAGATACTTTTTACCCAGGTGGACAAACTGTGGACGAAGCACTGATCATTGAAATTCCTCAACGACGCACTCCAAAACCTTCACCCCGACAACATAACCTTGGCTACTGCCACTCAGATGATCTGCATCCAGGAGAATCGGGAGAGTATTTCCCTCCAATGGCAATGATTCCTCCATCCAATGTTTCTGGATCCGCTTCCAATGCCAGCGCAGCTAGCTCCCATCACGCCCCCCCCGTGCATTCCATGTCTGTAATTACAACCGGACAACTCCCTCCAGTTCCTTCACCAGGGAGTCGTGGCTCCTGGCACCAGCATCAACTTCAATCTCGCCCCAAGTACGGCCGCCAACCTACTGCTTCGCCTACCGTCGTGTCTACGTCCCCGAATCAAAACTTGGCCGGTACGTCTACTACTTCTCCGTATCGTCTAGAGTTCGTCAGGGTCGTCGACTAGTCTATTTCTTTTAAGCTATTTTTTTTTTCTTTTTATTTTTATTTATTTTTTATTTTTACTTTTTATTTTCTACCTTCCTCCTCGTTCTTCTTCTTTATCAGTATGACGTCTGCTAACTTTCACTTTTCTGCGTGTTTTTGTCTTGTCTCTGATTTTGTAGATACTACCACTGCGCCAATAAATGCAATGTCCCCTATTCCTCCACCTCCATCCACGTCAACCCCTCCCGCTCCCTCACCCGAACAACCACAGAAAGATGCTACATCTCCACCAGCTCGCACGTCTTCCCCTCGCCCAGCCCCAAAATTACGGAAGGTCAAAAACCGCGGCACCAATGGCTCCCTTCCCACGAGCCTGCTAGACGGAACCGTGCCTCCTATCAATGTCTTAATCGTGGAGGATAACATTATCAACCTCAGGCTTCTCGAAGCATTCATGAAACGCCTCAAAGTGCGGTGGTCTACCGCAATGAATGGTCGGGAAGCTGTCAACAAATGGCGAGCCGGCGGGTTCCATCTAGTCCTAATGGATATTCAGCTCCCAGTCCTAAGCGGCCTTGAAGCTACCAAGGAAATCCGACGATATGAACGACTCAATAACATCGGAGTTTTCTCGAGGACTGTTTCGGGCCCGGCAGTAAAGGGCTCATCGTCTTCCTCGTCACCGAGCTCACCGGTTGAGGGTAGACATAGCCGATGCCCGGAAATCCTCAGGCCCGAGGATAAGCTGGAGAACCCAGAAGCGTTTAACAGTCCTGTTATCATCGTTGCGTTGACGGCTAGCAGTTTGCAGAGTGATCGAAATGAGGCTCTAGCTGCGGGATGCAATGATTTCTTGACCAAGGTGGGGGGTGTTTCTCCTTTCCCTTATTACGTCTACCACTACTCTTGGAAATGTCCTCTTTCCCACTTTCCTTATTTATCAACTGCGAAATACCCTATGCTGACATTAAGGAAAACTGCACCGTAGCCCGTGAATATGGTGTGGCTAGAACAAAAAGTAACCGAGTGGGGATGCATGCAAGCCCTAATTGATTTCGAGGGATGGAGAAAATGGAGAAAATTCGACGAGCAGCAAAACCCAGAAGTTCCAGTGTCGACTACTACGACGACAACAACTACAACAACGATCCCTGAACCCACCGGTGAATCCGCTCCTCTCCAACACAAGAAGTCCCACCAGAATATCCATGTAAGCTCCAACGGCGGGAACGGCGGGAGTGTAAAGACCGTGAGCAGCAGCCTTCACAACAACCATACTACCATCGACGATCATAATGCTCATAAAACCACCAACGAAGCCTCAACTAGCCAAGACAGCAGCACCCTGGTAATCTCTGCCAATCCCATCAAACAAGTACCAGCATCTACTCCTGCGAAAGAGCCTAGCTCCAATGCCTCCTCCTCATCAGCAGCAGCAGCAGCAGCAGCGATAACTGGCGTCGCAAATGGTTCTTCAAAGCTGGACGCGACGAGTCCTGGTGCAAGAAGTAGCACAAGCACGCATTCCTCAGGTACCAAGCGGACGAATCGGAATAGTGGCGGTGGTGTGTCGCCCAGGATACCGAAAGTATAACGAATATGGAAATTTTTATATACGATATGATTTGGCGTGTTGTGTTTTTGCAACAGAGAGAGGATGTGGGGGGAAGGGGATAGAAGAGAGATTTTAATTCAGTTTCCCGTCTTGCTTTTGTTCACTTAGTGTGTTTTAATTTCCTGATTTCCCTTTTTTCTCTTGTCTCGTTTCCTTTTCTTTCTTCTTTATTGTGTTTTCTTCAGGAGAGACTCTGACTTCCCCAGTCCCTTTTCTCAAAATCATGTTTTCTTTTCTCCTTCCCCTTTCCTTTCCCCGTCTCTCATTTTGATTAATTTAAGGTGCCATGCTTTGGTGTTGGGAGCGTCCTCCTTTTTTCTTTTTCTCTTGTTGTTTTCTTTAAGGAAAAGAAAAATGACCGTGGAAACTTTTTTGTTTCCCCCCTGGATGCTTTGCTTTCTATTCGTTTCGTTCTATCTACCTACTTACATATTTATCTACCTATCTTGTGGGAACTTCCTTTTCTCGTTTTTTTCTTTTTCAACTTCTTTCCCACCCCATCCTATTCCAGCGGGACTACCTTGTTTGTTTTGATTTTCATTCCGAGCAAAAGAAAGCGGTTTAAGAGAATGATTTTGAATGGTTTGTGTAGTAAATGTTGGCATGATTCTGTTTTCTTTTTCTTTTCTTTTTCTTTTATATACATATGGCTTGGGAATATTTGATCGTTATATATTACTATTGTTGGTAGGAGTTTCTTATTGTTAGTTGTTTATATTCTCTTTTCTCTTTCTCTTTCTTTTTTCTCTTGTCTGTTCTGCTTTGCGTTTGCCTAAAAGAACCATATACAACAACTCTTTCAAGTTTCTCTTGCTCTCTCTTTTCTTCTTCTCTCTTTTCTTTCCGATTCCTTCTCTGGCAATCACTCAAACAACAAGAAGTGTAGATAGATTTGCTGCGCACTTTTTTTTCCCCTTTCCATTTGGTTCCTGATTATTCCCTTCTATATGCCTGCCATGCTCATCTTTCTACCTACTACTACCCTTCAAGCAGCAAAGCAATTCGACTTGAAGCAAAAGTCGAATCGAGCAGGATCATCGTACATACATGCAAGTGAGGAGGAGGGTTAGCGGGGCTTTGATCATCTTCTTGAACTCTATGGCTCATGACAGATGTAGAAACTATGATGATAATAATAATAATAAAATGATATCCTAATCACCTCCCAGCCAGTCCAATCCTGTGTGTTGCCCAATGAAAACAAGAAGGGGGAATAGAGGTATTTATTGTACACAGTACAGCGCAGCTGCGCACACACAATTGCATAATACATAAAATGAGTTATACAATGAAAAAAAAAAAAAAAAAAAAAAAAAAAAAAAAAAAAAAGAGAGGCCTGGATCGAAATTCCCCGGCATTTAAACCTCCACTTTGGTGGGTATCTTTATAGCCCCCCTCTTCCTCTCATAACTAGGCACACCATACCGACGACCAGGCGCGCTCGTTCCACGACCATCCATCCCAGTCGTCTCGCGAGATACCACCACGTCTCTGAACCGGAACTCAAAGCGGCTACCCTCCGGCTGGATTCGGGTCATCTTTGCCTCTTCCTTCGCCTTTGCAACTTCCTGCCGCTTCCGCATGGCAGCCGCTTCCCTCTCAATCCGCTCCGCAAACCGCTTCTTGTGCTCCCGGTACTCGCCGGGTCTCTGGAACCTGTCGTGCGCGAAGGCGACAAGGTGAGGGTGTGGGATTCGGTAGTCTGCGGGTTGGAGGACTTCTTCTTCGTTGTTGGGTTTGCCAAGTTTTTCGATCATGTGGGGGTTGTGAGTTACTTTTTCGATGGCTTCTGGGGTATTATGTGGGGTGTTGGCGGAGGCGTGGGGGAGGGCGGGTGCGGCGGAGAAGACGCGCCCTGCGTCGACGCGGGTGAATTGTCGGGATTCTGAGACTGGGTGGAAAATTTGAGCTTCTGTGAGACGGTGGACAGGGAGATCGTTTATGGATTCGTGGGGAACAGGCCGCTCAGGGTATTTTTTTAAGGGTGTCGTAGGGATCATCTGATGTACAGCCCGAGCGTACGGGATTGCGCGAGGTTTGTTCTATTATATTGGCTGTTAGCAAGGCTGTTTCAAGTAGATCAACTCGTGGTTATGACCATGAAACTCCGAAATTTGTAGATAATAAAAGGTATTGTCTCAGAGAGTTGTAATTTAAATTTTAAGTAAGCATTCTCCAGAATGGGAATTTAGGAGTCTTCAAGACTAATCGAATTTGTTTTGCTCATCATGACAAAGTATAGAAGAGGGAGGCGGACAATATAAGGCAGATAAAATGAAACCGACTTGAGAAAAGAAAACACAAACTATACATACCTCTGCAACCCATTTCTTCTCCAGCTCCACCAACCTAACCACAGCTGCAACTCTTTTCAAATCCACCCCATGCATAACACTAACTTCTCTAGGCGACTTCCCATATTCGACAACCTGTCTATGAATCTCATTCCTTAAATCCTCACTGAGAACTGACTCGCTCACAAACGTCGGATTAAGCGGGAATGGTCTAAGGTCTTCCAGCGTTTCCGCATCTGTGTCTTTGCCGCCCTCCTTGGAGCGGATCAACATGCCATTGTTGTTATAGGCGCTGATATAGTTTGTGCTGCCCGGTTTTGGGTTCTTAAACACCGCACCCGGGCCCTTTAGCCACATATGCACTTTTCGCCGCTTTTCTTCATCTTTGTCGTTCTGGGGCTCAGCGGGCGTTGGAGCAGCGGCGGCGTCATGTTGTAGTCGGCGTTGGGAAGGGGCGGTGGTGGATGATGAGGATAGGAGGAGGGTGAAGGAGAGGCACAAGGGGGCTGATGATTGAGAAGGTGAGGGATTGGATGTAAGACTGCAAGACAGCCGTCGCAGGCCTCCTAGCCGAGGAGGCATCTTGTGTGTTGATGTGTGTATGTGAGTGAGTGTAAGAAGAGGTTGGATGGAGCGTTCTACAACAAAAGGGGTGAAAACTGGGCGGGAAAAATGGGTAGAGAGGGGTTAAGGCAGCCAATTGAGGATATGTAAAATGAATGATTGGGAGGTTCAATGGCTGCCTGAACAAGTTGGTTGAGGGTAGAATTGGAGATTGGAGATGTAGTGGACTGGTGGAAATTGTTTGAAGCAATTTTTTTTCTCCAGTTGAGGTGATCACGTGGAAGCAGTTCGAAAGAGGACTAGCGCAATTTTCATTAGCGGCGAGGTCGCACCAAAGTGTACACCGATGGATATGGATCTCGAAATTCATTATAAGGGAGCCAAAAATCGATACGGAGGATGATGAAAGTGAAGCTGAAAAGAAGAAGACCAATGGCAATAAAGCAAACGTAAAATGTTTCAGCGACCCGCGTCTCTGTGTAGATCTTTGACTATAAGCCTAGCTATGCTGAAGGGGAAAATAAGTTATTGTGAATAAAGTGAAATCAGTCAGAAAAAAAGGAACAATCCAACAAGTATCCATATCTCTCTGTTTCATTTGGAAGAGTAATCACTTGCTGATGGGAGATGATATGATAATCATGCCATTGGTGAGAATTTGACTCCATAAATAGAAGGGCAGGGGAAGAGGAAATTTTTTAGAAATTGAAAATGAAAGGGGCGCCGCGTGTGCAGGTATGGTATAGAAAGGTTCAAAGGGTGTGGAACAAAAGTTTGTGTAGCGCATTGTATAAATAATGATTTTTTAAAGATGTAATAAAAGAAGCTGGACAAGATGAATGAGGCAATGATAAATAAATAGGATGCCAACCAGCAGGGGAGACATGAGTAGTAAGAACGCAAATGCTGGAGGGGAATACAACTGGAGAGATAGAGACAGATATGGCCACAAAATTAGCAAGCAAAACAAGTGAAATAAAAAAAAAAACACCGAACCTTGCAGCAGAAAATAATAAAAGGCGCACGAAAAAACAAGAAAATATCCATGAATCCAGCACGAGAAGATTCCTGATCATCCTTCTCGTATACGTATCCTGCAGAGGCCCATTTTTCCCACGCCAAGAAACAGACAAGTAAAACACAATCGTTTAATATGTACGCCTTAACATGGCCGCTTTGTGAAATGGGCAAATCTCTCGAGGTGTTTTTTTCTTTTTCTTCTTTCATTTGGGGGGCGGAGAGGAGCGGGGGAAGAGGTCATCGACGAATAAGAAAAAGAAGGAAAAATATCCCACGAAAAAAATATATCGACGCGCTTGAAATGAAGGCTACAAAAATGATGTTGCGTGTAAAGGGGGGATAATTTTTGAGGGGAATAATTTTTGAAAAATAATAGGGCTGGCTCATAGCAAAATAAATGATGTACCCCAGAAAACATCTGCGAAGGCAGAAAACGGATAAAGGGTAAATGGACAAGGAGAAAATGATGTTCGTAGTGCGACACAGACGCAAAATTTGGGAAATAAGAAAATGAGATGCAATAAAGAGGTAAAAGGAGCCGGCCACGAAAAGAAGACCCAAATTACAACCCCCTTTTTTGTCCCGCGCGGGGGGGGGGGGGTTGTAAACGAGAACGGGAACGAGTCCTCCTGAGTTCCAGCAAGGCTCAAGCGCGCACAAGCAAAATGCGCCGGAGCAATATGCACTTTCTCGCTAATCCCGAACAATAAAATAGCCGCTCCTTCCTTCAAGATTCCATGCAGTGGTCAATAGCCCCGAGAATAAGCCTGTAACTATGAGAAAATGGCAAAAAATAAACTGAGGGAGACAAATAAATATCGATGCAAGTATAAAACAAAAGTGGAAATTTACTCAAGAACAAAAATATAATAGTGGAAATCAAAGCACAAAAAGGGTCGTGGCATGGGGCAAAACATCAAAAGAGGCAGAGGCCAGCGTCGCATGACGATCTAACATGTAGAGTCCAGTGTTCCATAACGCCAGACGCTCCAGTACTCATCACACATGCAA